ACAGAAGAATTTATGTAAATAAGCTAGGCAGCAAACAAAAAGTTCAAAAGCAATGAAGGCGCCTCGGGGCCCTCATGGGCCTGTGCTCCACACCGCATTATAACAATGCCTTACTTAAGTGTGACGATCATTTCGTTCCTGTTTTGCAGGGGATGGGAGGACTGTTATTTAAACTCCGGCACGTTTTACTCAGAGTCAATCGTTTGGAGCATCATCTGCCTCTACAAGGTTTTTAAGACCACAGCAGTTTCAGCCCTTTTCCCCACTCCACCCCCAATCTCCTTTTTGAAGAGAAAAAAACAGGTTTAATCCTTTTAGCTAATTCCTTTCATGTTTGTATATTTATATTCGTTGTTTTTTTTTTTTAACCTCATCTTAGGTTCTATCTGTTTAAGTCCTCAAGTGACACGGAAATTAACTCTTTTTTCAACCGACCTCACTATCTGGACTTCCCATCATCCCTTGTATTCCCCAAATAATTTTAGTTACATCAATATTCAGTGTTTTCATTATTACGAAGGCAGTTCAGGGTTGTTCTATAGTAACTATAATTAATTTTCTTTTCCTGTAAAATTTGCCTAATTTCCTATGTACCAATCACTACTTCAACACTAACCACTCTCCCAGCTATCCAAATTCCTTCCTTCATAGTAAATTCATTCACATCAGATTTTCTTCGATTTCATTTTCTTAAAGAAGCGTCTGGGGAGCCCTCTGATCCGCCTCCGATCTGGTCCCTTAGCTCCATCCCCGGTACACAGCTACTATGAGTCTCCCCTTTACCACCATCCTGGGGACTCCTTCCTGCTTTCCTGTATTAAGTATCCACTTCCTTCATCCCCCATCTTCCTCGTTCTCGGCTCACTTTTTTGTTTTAGAGGAACGCATCCTTGAGTGCCTTCTTTAAAAGAGTATGTGGGTAAAACTTTGAGGTATTGTAAAAATTACTGTTCCCAGGGATTTAATGCTTATATATTCATGCCCTTCGCTATGTGACCTCGTCTCCTTGAGGATGCATGGAATTCCCCGTGTCGCTGACGTCAGGCCTGGAGACGTCGCTTGCTTTAATAGACTATGATGTGACATCTGAGCAGAAGCTTTAAGACCTGTGGGGTTCTGCTCGTTCATCCTGGACCCTGGAATGAAGACAATGGAGCAGGAGCAGGGCTGCCAAGCCACAGCTACCTGTAATTTGAACAAAACATAAACTTTTTTCAAGGTACTGAGAGTGGGGGATTGTTACCTGAGTAAAACAATCTACAAGTGTCTGGAAATGTCTTCATTCAATGCTTCCTGTTAATCGTTTTGGCCGAATACAAAATCAAAAATTCCAGGATGGAATTTTGAAGGCATTGCTCCAGGATCGTCTAGTTTCCAGCACTGCCCTTGCTTGAGAAGTCCAAAGCCACGCGGATGCCCCATCCTTTTAAAGAACCCTCTTTTTCCCCTCTGCAAGCTCATAGGGTCTCTTCTTTAACCCCGCTTTCTGAGGTTCTGAGGTCATCGGTCTTGACATTTGGTCTACTTTCGCCCTTTGTGTAAAGCGCTAGGAGGGTTGGGCTAGAAATTCCTGTCCTTTAATTTTGCAAAAATTTCTTAAAATAATTCTATTGGTGATTTTTTCCCACTCCATTTTCTAATTTCTGCAATTGCTGTCATCCAAGACTTAAGCTGCTTTTCCTATCTTTTTTTCCTACGTCTTCTTTTTGCCTCTATTTTCTGATATTTTTTCACGCTTCTTTTTCATTTCAGCTATCGCGTTGGTCATTTCCAAGAGCTCTGTTTTGGTCTTTTCGTCTAAGTTCCCCTGAGAGCAGAGCCTGAGACAAAGGCTTCCACATAAGTAGCTTATCTGAGAGGTCATCCTGGGATAGAAAGGGCTGGGGACGTGAAAAGGAAGAAAAGACAATGTAAGGATGTGTTTTCAACTTGGCCACTGCCCTGGGCAACTGGTGCTTGATCTAGGGGACCTTCTTAGAAGCCATATGAAATGAGAACTGTCCATCTAGGGGACAAAAAGTGAGATTATTAGCTTTCATCCCTCATCGGTCAAGGCTTTGATTTCCCTGCATCTCCAGGTTGTGTGTGCATGATGCCAAGACTGGTGTCAGACCAAAACCATAAAGGAATGGGCTAAGAGTAAGTGACTATTGTCAAAATCTGAAACTTTTGTATGACAAAAGGTATTAGTGGTAGGCTGAATAATGGCCCCCTCAAAGAGAGCTACAAGCTAACCCCCAGAACCTGTGAATGTTACCTTTATTTATATAGCAAAAGGGACTTCGCAGAAGTGACTAAGATGGGAGGATTATCTTGGGTTATCTGGACAGGCACTGACTATAATCACAAAGGCTCTTCTAAGAGGGAGGAAAGAAGGTCGAAGGAGGAAGGAGATGTGATGATGGACCTAGGGGTAGAAAAGGTGATGTAATGCGGAGCCCTGACAAGGAATGACAGCCTCTGGAGGCTGGGGAAGGCGAAGAGATGGACTCTCTTCCAGAGCCTCCTTGCTGACACTTTGATTTTAGCTCTTTGAGATTCATTTCAGACTTCTGATCCTGTGAGGAAATTCGTTTGGGTTCAGCGTTAAATTTGTGGCAATTTGTTAGAGCAGCAATAGGAAACAAATGAGTTTCCAAGGAACCAAAGCAGTATCTATACACAAAGATGAGTGACAGAATTGGGGAAAATGTTTGCAACATATTTAACAAAGAAATTATTATGTGCCAGGCACTGTTCTAAGTGCTTTACAAATATTAACTCATTAATAAATACTATTATTATTCCCATTTTACAAATATTAACTCATTAGTAAATACTATTATTATTCTCATATCTGAGGAAACTGAGGTACTGAGGTTAACCTGAAATGACAGCCCAACAGAAAATAGCAAAAAATTTAAAATTCAATCAGACAACACATATTTGAAGATACTATGTCAACTCAAGTCTTCCAGCAAGCACATGCCAAGATGACTAAGAAGTGTAGGGGTTTTACTGGCAGAAATGCCAGTGAAGAGGAGAGGAGCAGGTAAGAACCTCAGGCCACAATGGATTTTGCCATTCTAATACATCATAATGAGGAGTGTGAATACATCCATCACCCCCTGAAGTTTCCCACTGTAATCTCTGCCATCCACATCTCCCCTTCCCTGAGAAAAACCACTGACCTGTGGCCCATACAGGTGCTTGCGTTTTCTAGAATTTTATGTAAATTCTTTTACATTTGGTGTCTTTCACTCAGCTTAACAATTTTGAGATCCATCCACCTTATCACGTGTATTGATAGGTTTTTCCTTTTGTTGCTATTAACGAAGAAAACTGCTATGAATACTCCTGTACGTGTCTTTGTATGGATGGTAGATGTATGTAAAACTTTTTAAGAAACTGTTAGTTTTCCAAAGTAGCTGTATCTATTTATAGTTCCACCAGCAGCGTATGACAGTTCTGGTTGCTCCGTGTCCTTGTCAGCATTTGGGATGGTCAGTCTAATTTTAGCCATTCTAATAGGTGCACAGTAGGATCTTGTGATTTTAAGTTGCATTCCCTTAACTAATGACGTTGAATATCTTTTCATGCGCTTCTTTGCCATCTGTAACATCTTCAGTGAAGCGTCTGTTCAAATCTTTTGTGGGTTTTTTTGGGGTGGGGGAAGGGGTTGTTTTCTCATTGAGTTTGAGAGTTCTTTATACATTAGGGTACATACAAGTCGTTAGTCTGTGACTAAGAGATTTTCTATTTTTAAGACAAAAAGTTGGCAGGCTGGGAACTCTGAAAGGAAGAAGCCAATTACGAAAGGGAGAAGCCAATCTTTTAGAACAGAGAACATATGCAGCCTAACAGTAATGTTTAATGGGCTTCGTAATCCAACAAGAGTGGGTCTTTACAGAAAAAAATGAAATTATTTGAACTGCTAACTGTACCTAGAATCTCATTTCATCACTTCATTTGGATTACCTTGGAGTCAGCAGCTTTTGCAAATATATCACAAAACTGTTTGTTAAAAATTAATCCATGAAAGTGATTGTAGTGTCCAGAAACACTTCCTGATTTAAAAAAAAAAAAAATCACGAGTATCCAGTACTGCGATTTTCAGAATGTGATGTTTTATTATTTATATGGTTTTTAAGAGATTCAATACTTTTACCACCAATTAGTTCAATGATTTTACTTTATACAGCTATGAATGAACACAAGTTTTAGATTTAAGGATTTGCCCCCGAATAAGATCACTCTGAGGGCAATCTTGTTGTATTTCTCAACTGCCAAAAACGGCATTTAATAATAGACACAGACTGGCAGAAAAGGCAGACATTACCAATAAATAATTATTCAATTAAAATTAAAAGAAAACTTAAGGGAGTTTATAGTCTATTAAGACTAATAATAACAATAGTTGGCCGAAATAATAGTTTTACTATGTTCCAGGCACTGTGCTAAAGGCTTAAAATGGATTATGCCCTTTAATCTTCATGAAGTCCTATGAGTACTACTGTTAACTCAATCTCCAGAGGAACACGGAGCCTTACAGAAGTGCCTTTTCCAAGACCACAGTGATAGGAAGCAGTGGAGCCGAGACTGCAGCACAGGCGGCCCGCCTTGGAACCTCTGCTCTAACCACTCTCCCACAAGCTACTGAGGACTCGAGCCAGAATTAGCCCAGCCCTCTCTGGTTATCTTTATAAAGCAGCATTAAAAAGTGGAAGACGTAAATGAGAAAAGAAAAAGGCCAAAAAAACCCTCCAGTGATTCCACTACTTTGGGAAGGGGGGGCGGGGAGAGAACTGAAACTCAAAACGTCCCACACTATTTGATGCTACTTTTCTTAACCAAGAACAGAACCTTGCCATTAACATACAGCTCACAGAAAGTCATGTAATAAAAGTACCAAAAAAATAAAACAAAATTTACAGTATCATTAAGCTCATTTTAGACATGAATACAGCACATCCCAGTTAAGAAATCAGTGATTCTTGAGAAGTTAAAAACTTTGAGAGAAATAATATATAGCCACATAATATTTTATTTATTGACCTCTCTGAAACATGTCAAAATTTGTATGGCTAATGGAACTTTCCATATTAAAATGGAATATGGAAAGTTCCATACCAAAAATATTTTAATGTAGGAATCGACAAGTGAACATTACATTTAGGTGGTAAAATTAAGGTTACAAATAGATAATACTAAATATCATACTTCTGGTTTAATGGAAAACATAACAAGTGTGACAGTCAAGCTAACCCGCTGGATAAGTAGAGAAATGGGGAGGGGTGTCAAAGAGCTTTGCAAAAATTTAACAATTTACATAATCCTTAGCCCTTCTTAGAAACTACAGATGGGAAATGTGTGGCAAATACTTCTGTAACATGCTGGTTTCAGTCCATCGCTGAATATTCTGTTCATGCATTTAAAGGAACTGCAGTTGTTTTGAGCACTGAAAACTAGATTCAAAGTAAGTCTGCTCAACAAACTATTAATATTATAAAACTCTTATACTCAAAAATATAGATTAAGTTTTGAAAGTTTAAGGTAAAGCATACTTGTTTTCATAATTATTTTCAGATACAATCTAGACTATACTACTGTATATTGTTAGGTATACTGCTATGCAGTTAATTCTAGTTACCATAGTTTATATTTGTTAGTCATCAACAATACAAATTTTATGCTCCAAAAGAAGTCTATCGATTCGGTAAAATGGTTGAGTTTAATTTTCTTTTAAAGATGGATAAACTAAATTTAAAGAATAGACTTTTCTTGACATCTCATTTTCAAATTACCAATACGAATTTACCAAAAGAAATAGCTATATATTTTGCCCAGCATTAAATAATCCGCAAAAAGTTCCCAAGATAGATGCAGTTCTTGTTCAATTTCCAAAAATAAATAAAGGCTTTCTAATCGAAATCATTTCTATTCCCAGCTCTCTAAAGGAAACATTAAAAAAACAATGTACAAAAAAATGATCTTTTGGCTTCTGAATAGCCCACTTAGTTACATAAAGTATTTTCTGTCCCAACACTTCCTCAAATTCAAAAGATGTTTACTCCTAAGAACATGTCAAACAGTCTTCATTTCAAACCATTCAGTCTGTTTCCATGGCAACACTGCGGGATTCCTTGGCTACCATAAGTCGCATTAGTTGACTGTGGAATTTCTCAATCTTCTTTACATCTTGAGCTTGGTCTGTTCTATACACCAAACACTGTCAGAAATTTTAAAAGTACACATTAACTACGTAAAACTAGGTCATTGACAATGTAGCAAATGTATGATTGGGTAAAAAGTTGAGTCTTGGCTACCACTATTTTTGCTCTATTTTTTCCCCCTCTATTCTACCTGACATATTAAGAAAATTATACCGTTTCCAAGCCCCCATCAATTACATTCCTTAAGTATAGCATTTTTAAAATGGGTTAAAAAAACCTCAATGAACTCTATCAGAAGCCTCTCAAAACTGACCAGTTAAGTCACACTGAATCCCTACTATGGTCTAATGAGAACTCAAGACTTGGAAGGTTATTTCCTCCCTGAGATCTGGTAATGAGTTAGTTATACTGAGAAAAGCACAGAAATCTTAGGATCCCTTTCTCTATTTGTGAAGGAGGGAGACGATGACAGTCAAAAAATCTAGAGTCCTTTGCTTATGGCTGGTGACCACCCAAATTAACAGATAAATCTGTCCAATCTTGATTTTCTGAAGGTATTTATAATTTTTAAACCAAACCAAATTCTTCCTTGCTGTAAGTTAAATGCTTCATTAGAAGCATTTTTTATGACCATCTATAAATAAGCAGATCTTAAGTATCTTTTGTTAGAAGGATACTTAAGATATGGTTATTTATAGATGGTCATTAAGCCATTTGTTCTACAATCTTCAAAAATATCAAATATAAGCTGGCAGCTCTTTTCCCCATTTTGCAATACAGGTCTATTTTTCTTTAGCCCATTCTAAAAGTATATGAGTTTTAAACAATCTGAACATATGATCTCGAAATAATATTCATCAATTTAAGAAATTTAGAGTTGAACCTCATCACGTTCTTTAAATCTTCTGAAAATTTTTCTGATCCACATATTACACATATTTGTGTAACAATCTTATAAAGAGACCTTAACCACCACCATTTTCAATTTTAGTATATGTGCTCTGGGAGGCTATACACCTCATTACAGTATGACAGAAAAAGATTTTAGGTCTATAGAAGACAATATTATGAGATTAGAAAAAGGGACACATAAATGGGATTATAAAAGTCAAAGCCACATGAAAATAATGAGGTCTTAAAATGGAGTTTTCTGAAGGAATTATTAGATATTAAAAATGAATTAGTGAGGAAAGCATACAAACTTCTTTAAAAGAGTCATTAGGAAACAGATTTTTACTGTCATAGTTAATTCATATATTTACTATTCAGGAGGATGGCTCTGACTACATATTTGGTCTCTTCTATTAGGAACAGTTTTAAGAAAGGAAACAAAAAGTACTTTTCATATGTAGATCTCGTTACAGGAATCATCAATGTTAAAATTTTCTCCAATATTGGCTAACACAGATCCTTAATTCTGTTTAACTATTGCTGGGGGCCAAAAGTCATCATTTGGAGATAAAGCCTTTTGTATTAAAACCCATTCTGCACTTTTTCCTATTTCTAAAACAGGACACACTGGTTTCTCTTCAGCAGGTATACCTATTCACTCTGTAAAATTTTTATCAACGTGAATGCTAAAGATTCAAGTATATACTGAGTCCACTAACTGGCAAGCACTAATGCTAGGCACTTTCAAATATTTTATTTACTTTCTACAATAAACCAATTAGGTAGGTAAGCAGACTATCACTATGGCGCTTTACAGACATGAAATTGAGGCCCAGAAAGCTGAATGTTTGGCCAGAACTTTTCCAAGGCCGAAACACTGGTAAAATGGCTAAACCAGGATTCCAATCTCCTGACTCAAGGTCTAGCACACTACACCTCAATTTACTCTTCCTTTTTCACATTTTCAGTTACTTTACCAAACAAATCTAGTCGGTTCTTGAAAGACACGGTAATCATTAAAAGATATGACTTCATGCAAACCTCACAATGGAACCCTTAACACATATATATGACCAAAGACAAAAAGTAATTTTTAAAGTTGCTATGAAATTTTTAAAATAACCTATTAAAATAATAATTACTAAGTACCCTCTGGGTCAAGATCCTATGTTCATCACTGCAAGTACAAGTAAGATTGTCACCGATCTTTCTATTGTCTTAAAGCTCACCATCTACTGAAAAGACAAGCGGGATAAAACAACTGTGATGCAGCACAGAACAGCTGAAACACAAAGCCAGAGATGAAGCAGAACCCCCTCGAGCTGGGTTTGCAAGGTCAGCAGCTGTCTTGTCACAGTGGGGAGGGGTGGGATTCGATACTGCAGAGGTGGAAACAGACTGTTCAAGGCCAAGGCCTAAGCCAGCACGGCACACTAAAGGTGCTCGGAAGCGATACAGAAAAGACAGAGATTAGAGAGGATGTGAGGATGGAGTTTACCTTATGAGTGATGAGGAGCCTCGAAAGGGTTTTAAGTGGGGCAGTAACAAACAAATTCGCATCTTAGAAATCAGTCCAGCATAAGTATAGGACGACTGAAGAATGAACTGGAATCGGGGACACAGTTAGGAGACTTTTCTAATGGTACACCAGGCAAGTGATGATGAGATTTTAAACCTGAGAGTAGCAGCGAAGACAGATCATTCATGACAGGAAATGAGATGAAGGAGCTTAATCAATAATCCCCAAATGCTTAGGAAAGTGTACAGAACGTATCAGACGATCAAAATACAAGTTTTCAAATGAAGGAAGAGTGGACATGAGAATGAGAAAAAGGGACCAAACATGATCTGCAAACATGAAGAGCAACTGAAGCTATAAAATAAGAGAAGCAGCCCATGTGGCACGATGATTCCATCCTACACAGGCGGATGAGCAGTGAGGTCAAGACACTCAGTTTAGCGCTGGTCAGGGGGTCAGAAGAACAATACGAGCTAAATGTACAACTGTGAAAATAGACATAGATACAGGCGGTGTTTGGACTTAATGACTGGATGGATTACTCCAGAAGTAGGATGAAAAGACAACTGAGGACAGAATCCTGGGGAAGCCAATATTTACGGGGGCACTTCAGTCAAATAATTAGAAAAGAATGAAACAGAAACAGAGAAAGAAGACAACATGGAGCCATAGATGCCGAAAGAATTTCAAGAGCAAAGGTTTTCTGCATCAAAAGCAGCAAGAAGGTCAAGTGAGGTAAGAACTGATCAGACCGCTGGGTTTGAAAATTAAGGGGCTGTTGGCTCTCGCTGAGAGCGGTTTCAGCGGAGCACTGCAGGAAGAAGGCAGCCGGCGGCAGGGTAAGGAGTGAACGGGATGTGAGGAAGTGACAAGAGCGAGCGGCCAGGGAAGGAGAGAGATACCTATGAAGCCTAAATCCTGTATTCGCATGCCATCCTTTACCTCTCCCGTGCCTATAAAGAAACCTTTACCCCTTACAGCCAGATTTGCTCTCTCATTCCTCTTGCTTAAGGTCTGAAGAGAACAATTATTAAACTACACGTGACATACTGTCTTAAAGAAGCAAGTTAAATTATTTCCCCAAGAGCCTATAAAAGTAGCTTCTAGAATGCGGTCTTGACTTTGGAATGAAATGCAAACTGAGCATCCTAATGGGTGATCTACGTAAATCTATGTAAATAATTTCAAATGATTAACTCAAAACAAATCTGAAAGTATGCAACAAATAAAAAATGTATACTTACAACTAAATCATCTGTTACTTTAATACACAAACTCCCATCAGAATGCCTATATTTGAGAACCACACGTGCCTGAAACAAAAATACATATTTAGCGACAGTAAAATCAGAAGGTATTTCTCATAAATAATTTAATCTTCAAGTGGGCTAAAATGGATTCTTTTAGAATTAACAGCCAAGATTAAAGGCATCTTTATTGTAAACTTATTACTGAAATGAGGTAGAAAACAGCATTTTACTCCATTGCATTCCTATTGCTACAATTTATTATTTTTTTAAAGTCTTAAATTTCCCAAACGCATCCATATTCAGGACTGTGAGACTCTTAAGGTGTTTTGGCATTTGACAGTAAGAATATATACTGAATAGAATCACAGCATGCCACACCAAAATAAGCCACTTTGGCATAAGGACTGTTTTGAGCTGAAGGTAATCAGCTCTCTGCCCTTTCAGACTAAAAGCAGGGCATAAATTAACCTTCGTAACATGACATAAATGTTCAATTGTTATGAAGAAGCGTTCTTATCTACATAACAAATTGTACTAAACTTATTTATCATGTGTCCTAGTCACCCTCTCACAACTTACCCACCTTTAGAAGCCCCAAACCCTTTTTTCCTTTGTCCAGCCTCTTCTCTACCTGTTATCACTCTTTGTTAAGATAGTATATAGGCTCCAAATTCTGTCTCCTTATATTTCTTTGTGAACTGCAATGCATATGTAATATCTTTTCCTCTTGTTAATCTATCTTTTGTCAGTTTAATTTGCAGGGCCTCAGCAATTAAATGTAAGAGGAAAAGTTTTTCCTCCCCTACAATACCAACACACCTAGCCACAGGGGAGTGATAGGAAAAGAAAGGGTAAAAAAAAAGAGATGGCTAGTTAAGTCCAAATCTATTCCTCAGGAAATCGCAGCGCACACTTCCCCTTTCCCACGGCTCTCAGGAGGTGGGCTGAGACTAAAGTACTCAGCAAAATCAGGTCTCTATCGTGATGGTGCAACATGATGCATTATTACAGAAAGGCAGAATTCTGTCTTGAAAAGAAGTCTCCATCAACAACCATCCCAAATCTAGAAAACTCCTATGTCTGGTATTCTATAGTTAAGTAGACCTCCTCCCTCCCCTACCCCAAAAAGGCCCCCACCCTAAGGGACGAGTCTTGGTGAGGGATGGAAGGGAACTCACCAAGCATTTAAGTAGATACAGGTTAATTACTTTTAGACTACCTAACTGATGATATTTATTGAGCTAGGAAATTCACTTTTATATTTTAAAAACTTCAGTTCTCCAGAAATAAAAAGAAACTGAAACTTTAAAATATACTAAGCATGACGACTATGTAAAATTTTAACTCTTAGTTAAAAGAATACTCACTGGCTTTATTAAGAGAAATGAGAGTTAGAGGGTCTCAAGTATTATGAGGGTGAACTGTGTAAATTAGGGGACACCTAAATTACCATGTCAGATGCCCTGAAGAGAGGAAAAGAAATCAAGGTTCTTGCTCTCTTAGGAACTTTGAATTCCACCAACCAAAAATAACCCAAAGCAGAAAAGAACATGAATTAAGTTCTTTACAGGCATATAAAAGTAAAATGCTAAAAAAAGAAAACCAATCATTTGCACTGCGGGGAGGAGAAGTGTACAGTGGCTTCGTGGAGGTGGCTGTGAAAATGTCTTTTTTTTCTTTTAGGGAAGAAAGTAGCAGGAAGGCTAAAGCACCAGTCTGAATGAAGATTCGATGAATTCTGTAGCTTCATGAGACTAGAGCTGAGGACAGTGGATATGGTGGGAGACAAAGACAGAAAGACTGAAGAGAGTCAGACTGTGGGATGGAAATCTGGACTTTTTCTAGCAATCAAAGATGAACCAGTTTTTTAGGTAGGAAACTAAGAGAATTCAATTTTTGTGTTTTAGGCAGCTGTGCTGTGAGAGTGAAGGAGGGATTAAAAAGGCAGACAGAACAACTAATATGTTATTACATGGTCTGGCAGTAATACCATCTTCAATTAGAGTGATGCAAGGGTGAACGGTTAAGGTGATAGGTATCGTCAACAGGTTCAATGTGGTGGGGAGAGAAGACAGAATTCTGCAAAACAGATTCCAGAGAGTTCTGACAAAACTTTTCTTTTTAGTCCTGGCACTGTGAACTGGGAGAAACAGCATGGACTTGGGGTTTCGAGACCCGGGTTCAAACTTTAGCTTAATTTCTTAGACTGGGCACATCATTTAATGTATCTAAGATTGTTTATTCACCTACCTCAAGGGGTTGTCTTAACTGTTCACATATATTACACAAATATATGTAAACTGTCTGTTACATAGATGGCACTCAATAAAACTGTCAAGCTCCCTTTCCCCACTCATCCCCTCTCACCTCCCTATCGAAAACACCATTCAAAAACCGGAAGGCTATCATGAGGATGCAGAAGTTTCTAGACCACTGGCATTTTCTGATTGGGCAAAGGATTGAAGTTGTCCCTCTCCGGCCTATCTAGACATGTTCTGTTCACAGCAATGCTCCATAACTACCGTTTTCATTTTCCTTACCACCGACACATTCTTAAAGTGATTACTCTTGATGTGAACTTGTATATTCTTACTATCTTTTCAAATATTTTTAGTTTACACCGTGGGTACTTCTAGGCAAAAATCCTGTATTATTCTCATGGCACATTGCTTGAATGAAGAAACAAATGGCCCTATGAACAAAGAAAATCATCTAAATGGAAGAGCCAGAAATCGTGTCATAAAGTATTCAATTTGAAAAACATTTAATTCTACCTCACTACTTATTGTATTATTTTATTGTAAAAAATGAAACAGAATGTCTTACGGCTTCTTGATACTTAATCAAGTCTAAAAAGCTAGCAGTAACAAGGAAGTGCTACAAACAACCCTTATATACGACAAATCCTAGCTTTTTAATAAGGAGCTAACCTCTGGCATCCACTTATAATTTTTGTTAGGGTCATGAATGAATCCACAAGCCCCGTAAAACTGTTTGTAAACCTTAATGTTTAAGGGCATTTTTCTGAGGAAAGGGTGTAAGCACCTTCACATTCTCAAAAGGGCGCTGACCTCCAACAGATTGAGACCTACTATTCTAAGGGGTGTAGAAAAGGAACTCCATATTGGGGTTTTTCAAGAATGTCTCAGCAGTGGCAGAAAAAAATAGTTTGTTTTATACGAGGTACCCTGACCCGCCAGCGGAACAGGAAAGGGGCAGCAAGACAACTAAAGGACTGGAAGCCACAGCTGCAGGGGGAGGAGCCCTGCCCTTAGAGACACGTAAACGAACCAAAGCCCTAAAGGAAGCTCAGGGATTGGGGACGGGGGAAGGCCGACCGTAAACCTTAGGACCCCGAAATGACCCGGACTTGTGCCCATTTCAGAGCCTTATCGGGCCGTTAATCAGGGAGTAAAAATATGACTTGCTGGTGTCAGTCTCTGCACACTCCCAGCGCCTCCCAGGATGCAGAAGCAGCTCCGCAGGCCAAGCCGACGGTAGGGAAGACCCTCTGACCTGGAGTTGGGGACAGAGGCATCGGCCCCGCCAGCAATTTACCTTCATAGGGTCGGCGAGGTAGAGCTTCTCGGCCGCGCGACTGAACTCCTCCCAGGTCTGATACTGCGGCATGGTGAGCCCGCGGCGGAAAGGTAGACGGAGGGACGGCCGGCACCGGAGGCGGCGCGACCCGGCCCACCTACTTCCTCAGCTCCCGCCGCCACTAACCGCTGTAGGGGCCAGGAGCCCAAAGATGGTGGCGCCTCCTCGCACCAATGCCTCGTTTCATTGGGCGGCCAGGACCGGCCTTACCCAATAGGGAGGAAGGATGTTGCCAGAGAGGGGGCGGAGCCCCGAGCGAGTGGCTCTGGGAGCTGGCGCAGAGAAGTCGAGCAGGGAGAGTTGGCGGTTGCCACAGCGCCCCCTGGAGGAATGGAGGAGCATGTGTCCCGCTGCCCGCTGGGCTGGACTGGACTGCAATGGTAAAGCCCAGGTTCTTTCAACAAAAATCGAGCGGCTTGATGATAAACTGGAGATACAGGAATGCAGAAGACAGGGTCCAGCTGTCACACCCACAGCCTCGTAAAGGAGGAGAGAGACATACACACAAGAATGCAACCGAAAACCTTCTATTATTTATGTCGGGTCAGTGGAACTCCTGTAGGTAGAGGGGATGCGAATGGTGATAGCACAAGCCCAAGCCCGGTAAACGTGGTGGATGTTCAACAGGCAGGCAAGGAGGGGCAGGACATCTAGGTCCATTTTAGATCTGCGGAGTACTTAATGTGGCGGGTGCTTAGCGGATGGAGGAAGAGTAGAAGCAAGAAAAGAAGCCATATCATCACTTATGCCGGGATAAGAAATTTGAACTTTGTCCACCAGGCAATGTGGTGACATAGGAGGATATCTTCCTTTAATTAAGTTTATTGAGGCATATTTTATATACAATAAAACGTTCTGGTTTTAAACGTACAGAGTGATGCATTTGACAAACGTATTCATTGGGTGTATATCCAATATGCCCAATACTGCAATCAAAATGCAGAATATTCATCTCCAAAACGGTTTCCTCATTTTTCTTTATAATCAACCTCTCCACCCTCACCCCTGGCCTCAGACCATCACTAGTCTGCTTTCTGCTACTATAAATTAGTTTTTCCTGTCCATTGAAGGGCTTTAAACAGATCTGCATTTTATGGGGCTCCAGCAGCACACCAAGGCGGAACAGAAGTGATACAAGCCAGAGGCAGGGAGTCTTCTTAAGATACTCTTGCAGTAATATGGGCATAAGAGACCATGGATCTGAATCAAGGCACAAGCTTAGGAATTCAGAGGAGGATACAGATTCGAGATTTCCTTGGTGAGTGATTGGACATTGGGAATGCAGGGAAGGAGAGTGGAAGATGACTCGTAAGTCTGTGGAAGAGGCGGTCATCGACCGACACAGGGGAAAAGGAAGAAGAACGGGTTTGGAGAAGTCTAGGGGAAGACAACAAGTTCAGTTCTGGACTTGGCGAGGCTGAAGTTTCTTTGGGACATCTGGTGGAAATGTCCGGTAGCTTAGCCGAGTATCTCCGTCTGACACTCCGGCAGTGGCATAAAACGGGGTCATTAGAAGAAGAAGGTCTTAGTTGAGCCATCCCATGGAGAGGATATAGCATAAGAAGAGGAGAAAAGGACAATCCTAGGAAAGAGCCACATGTACAAAGGGTGAGAGAGAGGGAGTAGAGTCCACGAAGGAGGTGGAGGAGAAATTAAAAGAGAGAGAAAAGGAGACCAGAAAGGGAGGGGAGGGGAGGGTTTTGAGGAGGGCGTCAGATGGCAGATAGGGTTCAAGTGCAATAAGAAATGAAATGAGTCGATTGATTGTAATCACTGGGAGGTCATTGGTGACCTCGGCTGGAGGAACCACCGTCGCGCTAGGGGTCAGGTAGAACTGACCGAAAGAGGCCGAAGAGGTGGCCAAGTGGCAAATACTGCTGCTCTGTACTCTTCTTATGAGCTCAGTCATGAAGAGAAAAGGGGATAAGTTGGCCTGAAGAGGCTGGGTAAAGAAAG